GTGCGACCAATTCGGGGTGCGACCAGAGTCACGGAACGAATTAAGTTCGTAAACTGAGGTTCCACTGTAGTATGCTATATGAACTAGGCCTTTGTGGCTTCTCCAACCATCAATCCCTAAAACAAATTCTGGCTTAGCATTAGATATGAATTCAGCCACTGCCATTCAAAAAGGAGAAAATGCATTGAACACAGGAAGGGGCCTTTCATATGCTGAGCAAGCTCAGTAACATATCTAGCCCCAACCCTCTCATCCAAGATCTTTTAAATGGAAAAGTCAAAAGCTGAGTTCGGAATCTTCTTCCCATGTTCTTCACCTAAGCAATCTTTATAATCACAGATCATACACATGTGTATGTGTCAAATAGAGTCCCCCTCCAAAAAGCAAGCAAGCAAACAAACCCTTACCCAGCAATGTTCTGAATTGAGACACTTTTTGAAAGGGCCAGGTTCTGTTGGGATCGCCTACTATTGAACACTGAAGTCGTCGTGACCTCATCAGGAGCCAGAATAGCTGATCTAGGTCGCTCTTTTGGCTGAGCACCTGCAAGAAAAACATCAGCAGATACAGCAAGAGGTTTAGTGAGACATCAGGTTCAGCTCAGGATTTGGAATAGTTGAAGTGGTGTTATTGGGTAGGAGAAGCAGACAATAAATTCATAAATATCTGCCAAGCCAAGAAGGTTTCTGAAGTACTTAAAATGCAGGGTGTATTGGTACAATAACATTATTGGACAGATGCTTTCTAACTTTAAAAATCTATAATGGGGATCTTGTGGTTCATGAGATAGAACTCTTAACCCCTTTGGCTATTTTGGTGGGGACTGCTCAAAGCTTTCAGCAAAATCTAAACAGCTCCATGTCTACAGGTTCACTGCTGATCTGTAATATCAGGCAAGTTCCATTCTAAATAAAATAGGCCAAGTTGCCATGCCTGTAACAGTTTTCTGACAACCATTTTTCAAATTTAGTTCTTTTCAGGTTATTTATGCTCAATGTTGTTGCTGGTGTCTATAAAAGATTTCTCCAGTGTAGTGTCCTCCAGATGTTTGATTCCCACTTCTCAGAATTCCTCCTGAATGAATTGTGATCCTGTACTGGGGAAGACTGATCTATGGGATTTGGGTCAACCACTCACTGGAGGGAGCACGTTTTGTCATTAGTTTCAAAATGGTACCTGGATCTGGCAATGAAAAAGATAGATTTAAATGTGCTTCCAGTTTTGTGGTGATTGCTCTGAGCAATGATGACTAAAACGGTGAAGTTGCAAATGTTCTTTGGCATCAAGTAAAGTTCAAACTCAGTGGTTGGATTCTCATCATGAACTAAGCTATACAGTGGTTTGATTTTGGTTTACATGGTCTGTGAACTTAGCTACTGTGGTTTGCAAATAATGTTTCATGGCTCAGGCTGAAGCATAACACCAATCAATTACAGCTTATTCAGTGAACCCCAGTTAAACAAGCTATGGGTCATTAGGAAGCATGAACCCAGATAGCATGATACGGATACAGATTTCTTGCTGAATTAAACCACTAGTAGCCAACCACTTCTTTTATCCAGCAGGTTAACAAGGAGATTGTGGGATTGCTATTCTGTTTCTCCCAAGGATTTGGTATATCCCCAGACATTCCTTAGAGCTGTAGATGATTCAGGGCCAAGTTATATGAAGGGATACCTTTGTCCATAACAAAGGTGCCTGCATCTTGAGATCAGTCATGGAAATTCTGCACTGCCAATAAGAGCAATTAAATTGACTGAACATGTAGGACACAGCTTGCTTCATCACAGCCACATGGCTATGTCGCTGTAGCTTAACCAAAATTCATAAAACCTGATCAATTCAGATGCTCAGCGAAGCTATAAAGTCTTTGTTTTGAGATGTGGCTGTTCGTCCACAGCCCCTATCAGATCCTGAGAATCATCCGATAGCAATGAAATTACAGTAAGCAAAAATCTCAGGCTGTGATTCACAAAACGTGATAGCGCTAGGTTCACAGCACTAATCCATAATGTGATTTGTCTGGTTTTCGCTTAGCTTCTTCTGCAACCCTAGGTAACTGTGGCTTGTTCAAGAAATTATGATTAAACTACCCATGTGCTGTAATATAATAATGCAACGTGTGAATCCAGCAAACAGTTGATCACTCATGGTCCTGTGTGAAACTGAGATAGAGAAGGTACCAAAAAGGCCTCCTTTCTGGATTTTTTAAAAATAGCAATGGGTTATATTCTTCCTAATTCATAATGCAATACATGAATTAGAACAGCATTCAAAAAATGGTCATGAGTATGGAGAAGTAAATCAGTTTTGGCTAAATCGTGACTTCTGCACTCTATCAGCAAGGTCTGCAAGAACCTTTCTCAATGGAAGTCAGGATTTGGTTGCTTAACTAACAAACATGTTCTTTTTTTCCAGTTGTTTTTAAACATCTGCATTTAATAGATCATGACTATAGCTGGGCACACAACAAAATTATAAGCTTTGGGTAACTTGGACCAAGAAGAAAAAAAGAAGCTACTCACTCTTACTTCTCATAATTACTGTGGGTAATGATGAAGTATCATGAGGCTGAAGCCCACCTGGGGTTTTTTGGAGCTGAAGTAGAAAAGGATAAAGGATTCATTTCAGCCTTTCTTAGATTATAATTAGAACAACTTGTTATAATATAAATTCCATTCACACATCATGCTAAACTATGGTTTGAGTGGTTTGGCTGGGTTTATGTAACAAATTAAGATATCATCAACCATGGTTTACAAATCACAATGACTGGTTTCATGCCACAAACACCAAGACAAAGCCAATTAGACTCATGTGCATTGAATATTTTCATCCCAATCCCACTTAGAAGAAAAATCCATTTAAAAGTTCTAGGGGTCAAAGTACTGAAGTCCTCACACAATTATACAATCTCAACACAGATAAGAAATTGTTTTAAGTGGCCCTAGATTAAACTCTTCTTGCATTTTAAAAATATTTTCCTGCTATATAAATGTTTCTAGCCTTCAACATACCAGGAATTTCTGGAAGGCTTTTAAATCTCCTAAGTGCATTCCAAAATGCCACAGTCCTTCAGGAATGCCTTGTTTTCAGGGCATCCAATACAGCATTAGATCTACTGATACTGACAGTTACATAGATGCCTCTGCAAATCAAGGTTACGACAGATTTATTGCAAATAGATCATTGTAGCAAAGAGGAAGAATCAAAGTTGGACAGTTCCGGTAACTGGTTGCAACAGGGAGAGCTGGTAAAGAGCCCACAGGCACAAATGGAATAAATTAAAATAAATTTGCATATCTTCCTTCTCCTGCTTGTGGCCGTAATCACAATGAACCCACCAAACAGCTATGAACTGAATTTGGATAGAATGATATCACAACTAAAATAGCAGTAATAGGATTATTAATACATCTCAAGATGGAATAAGATGCAGGATTCCTGCCACCTAGCCTTGATCTACTGGAAGCCCTAGCCACAATGAAACAGAAGCTTTCTTTCTCTTTTTTTCCTGCATCCAAGGCGGCTAGAAATTTATTTTAAGGAAAACAACAACGAACTGGAGATATTTCAGAGCCTTAATGAACCTGCACATATGAAAAGTGGAGATTTTTCTCTTCCCAAGTTACGATCATTCAATTTAAAAAATGCACACATATGCATACATGTGAATACGTTGAAGAAAAAAACAGAAGAATCCTTACTTTCATTTTGACCTTGGCACAAGCAGCCACGCTCTCTTTGCAGCTTTTATGGACAATGGTACTACAATCTGTGGAAAACAAAGAGCGCATCTTAATGTGCAGCCAACTAGAAGCTTAGCTGTCATACAGGGTCCACTTCATACTCCCATTAAATGTGTCTCATCATTCATAATTGCAATTTCCTCTGATGCAAATAATAATAAAGGCAGCTAAAAATAGCTCTTTTTCCTGGACTTTCTTTGAGCCAGAGCTGAGAAACCCACTGCATGAGTTATTAGTTAGTGCCATCAGTTCTTGACAAGATTTCCACTGAGAATTTTCTTTGAAAACAGACAATGGCCAGCTCTTCCATCCAGAGTGAAAAAGAGGTAACAGAAAAGCTTATGTCAAAGTCATATATGTAAGCAACTCTCTCTCTCCTCCCTGAAACACTAGTTTGGAAATGCTGACAGCTGTAGCAATGAAGATCAATGGAAATGGGTTCCAGATCAAATCAACTGCTTCTCAGACCTCTTCCTACATAGTTTTTCCCGAGTACAAACCCAAGCAATCTACAAAGCTGTGATATTTGTAGCTCCCTTTCCTCCCACACAAGAACAGGTCTGGTTTGAGTCACCCCACGATGGAGCTGGATTAAGCAACTTCTTTAGGAGGCAGAGTCATGCTTCTTTTCCAAGGACAGAATGGCAAAGACAGGGCTGAAATATTTGGCCCCTGTTTGGGGGGGGTGTGGGGTTGTTTCATGCAACCCAGTTATGTTAAGCAGCACAGAAAGGGTGAGGGTTCACGGAAGTGGTAATTTGTACTAGCCGGACAAAAAGGAGGAAGGAAATATTCAAGTATTGGTGGAAATCTTTTAGCCAGCTTACATTATGCCCTTGATAAAGGATTTCATTCAAAAGGCACTGAACTTGTATGCAGTAAAACATTTCCTTCCCGTTTTGTCTTGTTCCCAGTGGCTACCCGCCTTTTTGTGACTGTTTACCTAGGTAACCCTAGCCATTAGCCTATATCTTCAACTCCTTCTCCCAGCTTTGCATCGGTTAGTCAACAAGCATCTCAACCAACATTTCAACTCATGCTATCACAATGCTCTCCACCCCATTCTTTGTGTAGGGCAGCAAAGGGGTACTCCTGTCCGGAGGAAAGCAAACTGCTCTGAAATCATCCTACGGTGGGTTGGGCAAGAGGAAAACCTGTGATAGGTTGACCTTTAACACTCACTCATGTTTCCGCCTTAGTCAATACCAATAAACTGGCAAGTTCAGGTTCCCAAACAGGAATTTCCCCTTGAAGATAACATGATTCGGTTTCAGTTTTCTAAGCCTGAAGTGGCATGTATGAAAGGAAATAGTGGATTAAGTCATTACCAGTTAATCACACGCAACACACATGTAGATTCATCGCTTCACCTGAATCTATATTATATTCCGTTTAAGAATTCAGATGATAACTTCTGTAATAACCAGGAAACGTCAGAATCCTTTGATTTTAAGAGAACTATACTTCCTACATCCTCCACGTACACACTGATTTGCCCCAGAAACCAACCGGAGAATGCACGACTGGCAATAACAGCAACAACAAGAATAATAATGTCAAGTGTATTTTACTATACTATGAATGGAAGCATGAATTCATTCTGGGCAACTTCTAGGCTTGATAATAGTTTAGTATTTTTTCATTATCACCAAAAATATATTCAGAAATAAACTGGACACTGTCTGATCATATGAATCAATCAAGCAAGCAAGCAAAGGATTAAATTTCCAAACTAGAGGAAAAGCACTAAAAATGAACACTATGTCTGAGAGAAATTAAATTAACCAGCACGCTTTGCCAAACCACCGTAAGAAAACCAAAAGGAGAATGTTGATGTAAACTTGGATGAAAACTGACAGAAGTTAAATCTAATGTGATATCCATTAACCAAATGAAAGAGTCGCACAGCAGGGCCCAGAAGCATTCTGGGAAAATTAAGATAGCAACATTCACTTTGGGGTGTACGTGTGTGTGCGTGTGTATGTGTATGTATGTATGTATGTATGTATGTATGTATGTGTATGTATGTGTATGTATGTATGTATGTGTATATATATAATCGCCTTCAAGTCAGTGTTGATTCCTGGCGCCTGCTTGGACTAGGCCCTGCAGTTATACTAAAAGCATCTAGAAAATCTGGGGTCCTGTTAGGGTAGAGACTTTGGTTCAATAATCCCAAATCCTAGGTTTATACAAAGCACCACTTAATCAGGATCAGATAGCATAGTAAAATGATTAGGACTAAGCTAGACACTCTACAACACTCACTAAATGACCTTGGAAAAACCATTCTCTTTTGACCAAACCGACAGTAACTCAAAAGATTACTGAGAGGATAATATAGAACCACCATCAGGAAGTTGTAGTCCTCCAGATGTTCTTGGGCCACAACTCTCCTCATCCCCAGCCAGTGGCCCTGAACTCTTTCCCACTGTGTGTAACATGATAGGGAACTTCCATAAGTTGCTACATTTGAACACAGTGCAAGGAGAAGAGGGGAGACTCAAATACAATACTTTGAAATAGATATATTCGAGGTGGTCCACCGTTGTTCAAGATTCTCCCACCACTGTGAACTGTCCTTAGGATCAAAAGGGCAACCAGTGCTGATCATTCCATATACCTAATTGTTATCCATTCTGGTGCACAAAGCAAGAAACAAATCACTTACTTGCACAGGCGAATGAATCCTTGTTGAAGGGCTTGAGACAATGGTAGCAAGTGATGGGCCCCACTGTTGGGATGGCACTGAAGAGATGGCCATTTAGCATCTTATCTTTGTCTCTTTCCTTGGAGTCTCTGTCCCGCTCCTTCAGTTTCTCCTTATCTTTCTCCTTCTCCTAAAAAAAGAGGAGTGGAAGGAGGACACTCATAACATAAAAGGCTTTTTTCCCCTTTTTTGGTAAAAAAATGTTCTTTCATGGGCAAAGTAGAATGTATTCAGGGACAACATCATCAAGAGGTGAGTTCCATATGCCAAAGATGCAGACAGTTGTCCTCCAACCTAATGTTCATTAATGACTCCAAACACCTAGGGCAATGCTTACCTTGTTCTGAATCAGTCCTCATGACCTAAGGCCATCAATATGTAGGAACATAAGAAATTATCTTATCCTGAGTCAGAACACCGCTCTATGTAGCTTAGGATCTTGACTGGCAGCAGATAGCCAGGGTTTCAGATAGGAATTTTTCCTTAAGAACCCAGGAGTTCAAAACTACGAGTCCTATCACGGAGCTTTATGTACTTCCAGAAGTGATTGTTCTTCTTTGGTGTGAGAACTGGGCTCTACAAAAATGTGGGTTCTGCACATTTAATATCTTGAGGTTAGAGCAGTGTTTCTCAACCTTGGCAACTTTAAGGCCTGTGGGCTTCAACTCCCAGAATTCCCTAGCCAGCCCTGCTTGGTGGCTGGGGAATTCTGGGTGTTGAAGTCCACTGGTCTTAAAGTTGCCAAGCTGAGAAACGCTGGGTTACAGTTATGAAGAATTATAAAGTCTACCTCGGCTTTCCTCCTGCACACTCTTAAAGCTATAGCATCCCAATCAATGTAGCTTCCTCAATTCCTCTAAATTTCTCTTTCAATCAAAGTTTTGTCTCACTAGGAGGATAGAAATCTATCCTCCCCAGTTAAAACAAAACTCATTGGAAACAAAGTTTCCTAGAAAGTGTGAAGATAATGTGATAATGTTATCAACAGATAAAGGAAGGTGGAACTTCGAGAAAACCATCAGCTTGACTAGAATGAATTAGAATGTTGTCTGGGGACGCTATATATTGGTAGCATTGTTTTCCATGTTGCAAACTTATTTTTCCCAATAAAAGCAAAAATGTGTCATGAACCTCCTCAAGATATCCAGGTCAAGGAGGAGTCCTGGCTGTCATTGCTAGTTAACGGATTCAAAATAACTAGTTCATTGCAACTACTAATTATGCAAACACCCCCTTGCAAATAATGTTCATCACAGGAGCATATATATGAGCACTGAACTGAAAAAAAGCCCTCCAGTGCAACCTTCTTCTGAAAGAGGCTTCCAACTCTAGATGGGCTGGGATTGCAACTTTTAAAATTCCCATGTAGCTCAGCTAAAGGTCAGGTTGGCAGGTAATCCTGGGAGTTGTAGTCCCCAGACAGCTGGAGAGGGTAAGATTAGCCTAAAGATGGCCCAGGGAGGGGACAGGGGCTCTCCTTCAACCCATCTCAGTCTCTGGTTTCCAAGTCAGGTTCTAGAGACACCTCAGGAGGTTCAAGGTAATACCTGGATCTGCCAACTTTGGACAAATGGAAGGGTTCAGGTCTATCTCCTATTCTGCTCCCCTTATTATTTTTATGGTCTTGTTCTGGTCAAGCCCTCTAAAAAAAGGAAAGAGCTTCAAGACAACATTTTGCTTAGGATTCCCCCTTCTATTTACAGGGGAATTATGAACATGGTCAGTTACAGCAGGCAACTTCTTCATAAACAACTGTCTGCCCTTCCTTATCAATCACTAACACCAATTTCTATTTTGGGGGGCGGGGCGGATTCCTTCAAATCAGTATTGAGTCCCTGCAGTTTTCTTGGCAAGATTTCAGAAGTGGTTTGCCCTTGCCTGCTTCTTCCTGGGGCTGAGCAAGAATGACGGGCCGAAGATCACCTAACAAAAAGGCAGGACTAGAAGTCACGGTCTTCTGGTTTCTAGCCTGCTGCCTTTAACCCCTACACCAAACTGGCTTTCTATATTTTCAGTGACTAAAGGGTGAAAACAGCAGCCACACGGTTAATGTCAGGATAGCTGAAGATGGCAAGAACAGAAGATGGAGATGACAGCTTTTGCAATTCTGATCACGAGGAAAGGCTCTGAGTCCCCTGGGTGATACATGCAAATACAAGTAAGATGGTATGTAGAACTGCGTCTCTCTCTTTCTCTCTGAATTCAGGCAGAAGGCAAGAGCTTTCAGAAGCTGAGCACATACCTACAACTCTGACTGTAGCCCCTCAGGCCAGTCTTATTGGCTTTTCTGGCATGCATTCCAAAATGAAAAAAACAACACGGGGTAGCCGCAAGTGTTGCAATGGACCAGTCTAAAGCTGCAGTGTTTCTTTTAAGCGGGCTTAGCAAGGAATAAGCCACATTAAATTTCATGGGCTTTATTTCAAGTCAACGTAGCAAGGCTTGGACTGTTTAACATCTGCTTTATTGTGACTCTTGCACGCACTTTTTTTCCCTAGCATTCTCAAGTCTCCTGCCTCTAAAGCCATGGTTACCTGGAAGAGCAACCAAAACAGACAGCAAGTGAAAATAACTGGATGGTGGCAATAAGGCTGAGAATGGCTGAAAATAACTAAGTTAAGCAGATTTGAACCTGGTGCTGTTTCTTTGCTAGAAACCACTGAAACCGACATCCCTGCCAATTAGGTGAGAGTCATTCAACGGAGGCTTCGCTGAGTGAAGGCCACCTCCTCTAGAAATGACAGAGTTGAAACAGTAGTTTGACAAGGAATAGTAATAGAGATATTCAAAGGACTAACAACTTATATTTCAAAAATAGCACTTGTTTCTCCCTCTTACAAACCGTCTTTGCTACTATGGGGAAGAGAATTCTTCATAACCTTTATTATTCTCCTCCTGCCTTAAGTATCTTGAGCCTGGTTCTCCCCATGGAAATGCCCACAGATAGACCACTAACGTGTAGAATGTACATGACCAAATGTTGCCTTCCATAAAATGAAATCCCACCCAGCAAAATCAGTACGACATTGAAAACTCATGTATTTCTAATTGGAATTAGCAGTTTCTATTACACGAACCGGGACCTAGAACTTAGACAACTTAGAGGAACATCTAGTGAGACTTTATGCATACTTGAGAAAACATTCAACACCCCAACTGTTTTCCAATTAATACACAGCTTAGTAACTTAAGCACAAAATAGGACATTTTTTTTTTAAATTAAAAAAAAAAAAACACTCAGCCATGAATTTAATCGCTTCATACACAGTATTAAGCCATGGACCTGTTGACTAAGCTATAACTGGCAGGACTGACACATGATGCTAAGTCCTTAACCATGGCTGATATCATTGTTGATCACTGGGTTCATACAATGTGTTAAACTATAATGACATTACAATTCCTGAATTGTACATTATAGGTAAACTATAATGTACAATTCCTGAATTGTACATTATAGTTAAACTATAATGACATTACAATTCCATACAAGTACCTGAATGCCCAATGCAGAAAGGGAGTTTGTTTCTTGGTCTCCATCAAGCTCCCTGTCTTCCCTAATAATATTTCTTTTTTGATAATTTTAATTTAAAACAGTGAATAGGAAGTCAGCATGCTATGAGGCAAAGCCCTAGTCTTAAGCATAACCTGTATTTCCAACTCTGTCTCTGGGGCCCTCACTGATGTTATCACAAGTGAGCAGCTTACAAAATCACAAAATAAGTACAGCTATATATATAGCCTAAAACAGAAAAAGTCCAGGAAAAACAAAACTAAAAAATCAAATAATCCATTATTCCACAAGAAGTCTGCCTCCACTCAACAGAAAACCTGGGGAAAGACTATTCTTCCTGGGTCAGGGTGGGAGCCATATGAATATCTGAGAATTCAGAGAGCAGGCACCATGACAGAGAAGGCCTGCTTCCTGGGTGCCATCAGATAACAGTTTAACTGATGTGACCTGCGACATGAAAATGAAAAATAAAATGGTGGACATCAGTCACCTCTGTTTTCTTCTGAGGTGTTTTGCGATTGGCCTCTGTGTTTTATGATGGCAATCATTTTGGGATAATGCCCATAACATATTCTCAACATCTGTGATGGAATGGAATTATGAAGGCCAGGCTCAGGGAGATAAGCATGATCTTAGTTCACTGGAGGAGCGTGGGAAGTTCAAGAGGATGAGGCTGGCACCTCCCTGAGGAATTCACGGTGCTGTGGCTGGCTGGCTTGGGAGCTAGGTTTCAGTCTGGGCGAGATTTTCTGTCTAGAGGTTATAGCTAATAAACACAGTAGAATTGAATTTGCATTGTCTCTTGGAGTTCTTTGGGCTGAACCTGACAACATCCCAGGGACAAGTCAAAGGTCTGGGATTCCAATATCTAAAAAAAGTGTCTGGCTTCTGAACATTCCCAGGCCCTGAGATGTTCTTCAGAGATATTTTTTAGGTTGGATCCTCCAGTTTCTGCTGCTCTCCATTTCTTTTGTTTCTATTCTTAAATTTGGTTGGGCCTGTTCCCATATCATCTTAGACATTTTCTTCTAAAAAGTGGCATGAAAATATTTTTACCCACAACTCCTCTGAAGCAAGCATTTTTGCATGCCACTTTACCTCAGAAATGCACAATTGCAGACAGCCTTCCCTTAATATAGTGCATTTTTGTACATCACTTACACGAACATGCGTATTTTAATGCACAAATTTTCTTTATGCAGTATTTCTTTAGTTGAACAAAATCATGCTTTGGGAAAGTGCGTATTTGGAAAGTGCACACTGAGAAATGCAGAGGGTTCTAAGGCTACATTCAAATGGGAAACTTACTCAATTTCTCTCTCGACTCATCTTCCAAGATGATGCATGAGAAAGACCTCTTCAATAATGTCCTCCCACTTACGAAACTCACACTTGTGCTCCACCTACTATCTTCTCCCTTCCCTTTCAAACTTTTAAAGTATATATTTTTAGCTTTTTTTAACAGAAAGGCCCGAGGCCCCAAGCGTGTAAAGAGTACCATCTCCTGGTTGTGCTAACAACCATTGATTGTGATATCTTCTTCGGCTGCTGTGTATTTTAATTTTTGTATTTTTGATGGAAATTTGTTTTTAATTTATTTTAAGATTGTTTGCTAC